TAAACAGCAATGCATGCAACCGCCAATTAAAATAGCATCAATTCATTGTTCATATCAGTTTAAACTTCCACATTACTAATCCTTCTAGATCTAGTCAGTGTTAAATATAAATCTACAATTAAAGTAAATGTGAGTTTGATTATTTCAAAACTACATGGAGGTAAAACTATAAATCTTGTAGATATTTGGTAAAGTACCGTATAAATTAAATTCACTTTGTGCATGTAATTTGTACAATGTAGATTATACTGTTAATTTCACAAGCAGCCCATTTCTTGATTAATGACTACTGCCTTCAATTTTTTCATAAGCTGGATTATTGACTAATTCTCCTCCGCTGCCTTCTATTTCTCCATAAGCTGGATTATTATTAATGATTAATGATCCTTCCCTAGATCTGTTTTTTTCTATTCTCCATATGCTGGATTTGTGATTAATTCTCCTTTGCTACCTTCTATTTCTCTATAAACTGGATTACTGATTAATTCTCCTTTGCTACCTTTTACTTCTCCATAAACTGGATTATTGATTATGTCCCTTCTGTGTCCTTCTATTTCTTCATAAACTGGATTACTATAAATCATTAAACACTGTTAATCTGGTATGCTTCATTAGTTGCAGTATATGTTTTCTGTTTTTGTAATGAGGTAGCCCCTGTTATTAATATTTAATAAATAAGCACATATGTGCACACATACACACACACAACACACGATACTTACTATGCAATTTCCTTTTGTAGATAATAACAAAACAAACTGATACAATGAGACACATCATTAATAATAATATGATGACACCCAATGATGTCAGGATAACTATAACATACAAAATGGTATATGATAATATTCAATGCAACTAACCAGCATTAACAATAAGACCTGCTGAAACAGTTGTGACAGTAGAGGATGACTCAGTAGAAGTGTTAGTAGGTGGAGGAGCAGTTGTAGCAGTGAGATTAGTTGTATCATCAGGATGTGTATCTATTAAGTAACAATTCATAGTATGTAATAATTGGACTCGCCACGCTTGCGTAGGCGGGTACTAAGCAGTTGGGTTGTCATTCTGTCTGTCTGTCTGTCTGTCTGTCATTCTGTCACGAAAATTCCTGTTAATTCCAGGGCCGTAGCCAGGAACTGAAAATAGGGGGTTCGGAAATTGCTGCGCGCGAAGCGCGCAGCAAAAATTTTGACGAAAATGGGCGTGGTTGGTAGGCGTGGTATTAATTTACCCATCTCAGCCATGTGCTGAATCAGCTAAAATGGCTATCTGTGCTTCTCGCTGTTGCCAAAATGCTAATCCTGCTTTTGCAGTGCTGTTCTTCATGACAGGAGCTAATCTAAAACTTTTTTGCAGCTACAACAGGGGGTTCGTCCGAACCCCCCGAACCCCCCCTGGCTACGGGCCTGAATTCCTATAGTCAATATCTTTTTTACTGAGCTCTCCTGAGTTATAATTCTTTTTAAGCTTTGAGAAAAAGATAATTTATTTTGCTCCGTTGTATTTTCATAGCAATCCGTGGTAGCAAAAGCTGAATTTTTCAAGAATAGACCACTTTTCCTAGCCAAATCTTCGTGTTTCACTCTATTTGGTCAAGATTAGCATTGATAGGTAGAGAAAAGTACCTAGATTAAAAAATATGTGGGGATTTTCTAATCTCTTTTTTGTTTGCGAGTTACAGTTGCTCAAAGTTTGTGATTTA